TTAATTATTTGATTATTATTAATTATTAATTATAAATAATTATTAATTATTTATTAATTATTTGAGAAGTTCATGCAACATGTTTTGATCATATCCACCTACCTACCAACTCCTCCCAGATTAATCTCCACATCCTACCCACCCATTCCTCTCCAGAGTCTTCCTAGATTAACCAGTATCTTCCTACCAACCCAAATTTGTGTGCTTTCTCTCTTTTAAACCCATTGAGTCCAATTTGTGCTCCCCAAATATCCCTCAGTGTAGGGCCTGCTCTGGACCGTAGCTGACCTACCAGGGGTCACACCTTTAAAGAAAACTGACTCCTTTAAGGGCAACTATTGATTGCCAATATCTAATCAGCTATGGGTCACAGTGCCCTCCTCCCGACCTCCATGCTAGGGTTTTGTCTGGCTTGAGCTTCCACAGGTCTTATGCATGCTATCACGACTACTGTGTGTTTATACATACAACTGCCCTGTTGTATCCGAAAACAGTTTCCAGTGGTTACTCACTGCCTGTGACTGTTATAATAGTTCCTCTTCCTTTGCAATGATCCCCGAGACTTAAGCGGAAGGCTGTGATATAGCCATCCCATTTAGAACTAGTTACTCTATAGTCTCTTATCTATATGGCTTGTGGGTCTCCATGTTAATTGCCATCTACTGCAATAAGAAGCTTCTCTGAAGAGGGTTGAGAGACACACCAATCTATGGATATAGTGATAAGTTATTAGGGCTGGTTTAATACTATATCCACTTATCACAATAATAGCATCAGGTCTTCTATTAGAGCCTATGACATGTCTAGCCCCAGGTTCCCGGCCTCACTAACAGTGGCAGGCATGGATTCTATCTCATGAAGTGGGCTTTAAATCCAATCAGAAAGTGGCTGGCTACTCTCATAACCTCATGCCACTACTGTGCCTATGAGACAGCTTTGCTGGGCATTTGAACCTTGTGAACTACAATAATGACTGTCCTTACATGCTTTTATTTTTCAATTTGTATTGGGACAGCGTATGTGTTTATGATACACTAGGTGGTTGACACAGGTCTGCACTGTGCAATGGTTTTTATTAATCCAACTAATGTATCCACTAGCTTCCTTCTTATTGGTTGTTATAAGGGCACTGGGAATTGTATGGTTGTCAATGATGTAATACACGACAACTGTCTCAGGCTGTAGAGCAGGGCTCTAGCACCTATCTCTCTGTGACCAGTGCCTTGTGTGGCCTGTCATCCCCCCTCTTAATTAGCATAGCAAATCCATTAGTCAACCCCAGCTTCTTCTCTCCAACCCTTGTTCTCCTAATGTAGAAAGAAGACAAATATCTCCTGACTTACTGTGGTTGTGAGGTCTGATGATTTAGGCATCGACACAGCTCTTTATGAGGACTGGGTGTATCTTCCTGGTCAATTCTTACAGCTGTGTCTTTAGTGTGACCTGAAAGCTTGTCCCCAAGTCACCAATGCTGTTCTTCAGCCACAGTTTCTCACACTAGCTCATTGGTTCCTGAGGGTTCCTTCTTCACTATGGTCTGTTGTCCCCCGTTGTATAGTTTGTTTTCTGGAGACAGAATCTCATGTATCTCAGGCTAGCCTCGAACTCATTATATAGTAGAGGATGACCTTGTACTCACCCCTCCTGCTTCCACCTCCCGAGGGCTAGGATTAAAGGTGTGTAACGCAACGCCCAGTTTATGTGGTGCTGCAGCCTGAATACAGGGCTTCTCGCATGGTGGTCAAACACTTCAACTGAGTTGTATCCCAGCCCCTGTGCTGTGTGTGTGTGTTTTTTTCCAACAGCAGATAGAATTATCTTCTGACAGTAATGTCTTCCACTCTACCAACTGAGATAGATTTCCAATCCCTTCTAGACTCTTCTGATCTGCCAACAAATTAGATCACAGGCAACATTCTGCTTTATGACTATTTTTTTTCTCATAACAATATAGTATTCTTGGGGGTGTCTTTTCTACCATACAGTGAGGTTGTTGTGGATCTCTGTAGACTGTCTTTATAGTGAGTTAATTATTTACGTTTCTTCACAGCTGTAGGACATCATTAGGATGGACACTGGAAGAAATCCTAGGTTCCATCTTTCAGAGTGGCTATACTGAGTGCTGTACTGAGGATTTGCACATGACGTGTGACTGTCCTCCAGAAGGTGGTCAGCTCATTCATCCTGTAGGCATGAAGCCTTGAGTATTAGAGCAAATATTGGCAGTAATTTCCATCAAAAAGCTCTTGAGCCTCACTCCAGTTTTCTGGAGGCATGTTTCTTGTGTATTTCCACCATGAACACATGAGTCCACTTCCATCAGAGATATCCAGCTAAATTAGAACCTTAGATATACAACTATATTTTTTTGCAGGATAAAGGTGACCTAAATATTGCACTGGACATACTCATAACAAAAGTGGTTCTCTGAAATAGCCTGACATCCAGAATTTGATCTGGCATCCCTAATAACAGGGAAAATTTATTTCTAAACAATAATGTGAAGTACGTTTTAATCAATTGCATGACTGTCCCTGGGGCACTCCTTGCCCATTGGTGATATTCTAGCCTCTGGAGTGACAGCCGGTGCTGCTGAGCTTGCACCTTACGGCAGGTGCTATCACAGGACCTCTGTGTGGTACTGGCCTCATTATCTCTCCCAAGAGCTCTGCCACCACAGTCCTGTCTAGCAGCTATAAGGGACCATGCAAAGACTCACCTGCTCATGCCATTGTTCTAGTGCTCTGTAAGTCTTTGTCTGCCTTGGAGACCCTCATCCTTTATCTGATGCTCACACCGAACCACTACTCAGAATTCCTTCAGTGTGCTGTCCTGTTTCTTTACCACACTACCAGGAAGTCTATGGCTTATCTCTGCAATGAGACCGTTTGTGTCTATTTCACTGTCCATTCCTAGGACTGGACAAATAGTTGGGGTGTATTAAGCTCATTCTAGGTGGGATTAAAGTGCATCAGGGTGGGGGTTTGCTCCCAAGGAGCATCGTCTAGCTGTGAAGAGCTGTGTGCACATTCTATGTGCATTATTCACTTTGCTGACCATAAAACCTCTGGGAGGCAGATGGTGCTCAAGGGTACCAGCTTTGCGAATATGTCCACAGAGCACTGTCTTTCTTTGCCCATCTTCTGACCTGAGCCTGTCACTGGTACCTAGGAGAATCTGGCTGGACACACTGCAGCTAAAATCTTTCTTGGAAGTCTGACCCATCTGTCAGCCTTGGAGGATGGCCACGAGTCCTGTGCCAGCTCTCACTTTTCTCTCTGGGTGTAAAAAGGCTGGAGCAAGATGTGCTGGGCCCTGCATATGTCCTGTTTCCTAGGGAACAGATGATCTGGAAAATGACCTGATGCATGCACTCTGGTACTAACTGGTGGGATATGGGAAAAGGATCAAGGTGGGAAAGGAGGGTGCTGGGTAGGCACTGGTGCATTGGAACTGAGCAGTTTTCCAGTCTTGCCGAAATAAAAACGTCTGCTGAAAAGGCAACACAGTTTGGTCCATCTGTCCCAGAGCCTGGAAAATGCCCAGTGTCTTAGTAGAGTTCTTCCTCGGTGTGAAAGCCTTTGTATGTCTGTGAAGACTTCAGGTTTGTAGGTTTTGTCTCTGGGTCCTTTCCTGTGCTTCCACTTGGGAGTCTCCTACTTGTCCTCAGGGCAACCTCACATTCAAATCCCTACTCCTCAGAGGCTGGGGCGGCTCGGCCATAACCATCTTAAGAAGACAGAACATGTACATGCACGTGTATGTATGTATAGGTATGGTACATGTATGCATATGTGCGTGCACCTACCTGCTCACGTGTTTGTCTGCATGTATGTGTACACGTATCTGTATGTGGGCAGTATGTTCTCAGTCTGTATTTTATTTCTGCTTCTTCTGAGTGTGATCAAAGGCACTGCTCTTCCTCAGGCATTGCAGTCTCCAGCGACTGCATCTTATTCTTATTCCTTGAGGGAAAATTCCCACTTGACTTGGGAGGCAGAGGCAGGCGGATCTCTGTGAGTTTGAGGCCAACCTGGTCTACAGAATAAGTTCTAGAGTTCCAGGACAGCCAGGGCTACACAGAGAAACCCTGTCTCCAAAAACCAAATAAATATATAGATATATAAGTAAATAAAAATTCCTGCTTGAAATTTCTCACAACACAGAAAGGGGATTTGTTATGGGGGAAGAGAAAGAGGAGGGCAGGATTTTCATAAAGGGAATTTTTATTCATATGAATTTCAAGATAATTTGAATTTCATTGTTCTAGTTTGATTTCTATTGCTGTGATGAACATCATGGCTAGAAGCAACTTAGGGGAGTGTCTCAGTTAGGGTTTCTATTGCTGTGAAGAGACACTATGACTACAGCAACTCTTATTAAGGAAACATTTAATTAAGGTGGCAGCTTACATTTTCAGAGGTTCAGTCCATTGTCATCATGGTGGGACATGGTGGTGTGCAGGCAGACATGGTGCTGACTAGATCTTGATCAGAAGGTAACAGGAAATGGACTGTGTGACTGGGCAGTATCTTGAGCACAGGAAACCTCAGATGCCACCCCACAGTGACACATTTCCTCCAACAAGGCCACACCTAATAAAGTCACAATTCCTAATATTGCCACTCCCTATGATCTTATGGGGGCCAATTGCATTCAAATGACCACAGAATGGAAAGGGTTTATTTGGCTTATACTTCCAGGTCATAGCCTACCACTTGGTGTGTGTGTGGGGGGCGGGCATCAGGTCAAGAACTGAAGCAGAAACCATGAAGGATGTTCTTTACTGGTTCACTCACTGGCTTATGCTCAGCTAGCTTGCTTTTGTGGCCTAGGACACCTAGGGATGGTACTTCCCACAGTTGGCTGGGCCCTTTAACATCAATTAGCAATCAAGTCAATACCCACAGATGCTCACAGGCCAGGCAATTCTTCAGCTGAAGTTCTTTGTCTCTAGGTGACTTTAGGTTGTACCAAGTTGACAATAAAGACAATGATCATTTGTTTTGCTCCTTTTGAACAATTTATTGGCAATGAAGTCAAGTGACTGACCCAGGATGGAATCTGTCCAAGGCCTCAGAATTATTGCCCTTAACATTTTCAGCCTATTAAAAAGGCAACAAGCCAAGAACAGATAGTTTCCTTTCATCAAAGTGCCCTCACAGCTCTTTTCTATGATTGATGAGAAAACTTTGAATGAGAAGCTAAAAGGTTTGAGTAAAGCACTCAGTTTGTGCAGTGATCACCATGGTCTTTCTTCTCCTCCTCTTCCCTCATCACCATCATCATCACTGGGTAAAGCTTGACATTATTAATGTTATTGTCATCATCATCATCATCATTATCATTGGGTAGAACCTGTTAATGACATTTTCATTTTCATTATTACCATTGGGTAGAGCTTGTCATTGTTTTCATCATATAATCATGACCATGATCATTGGGTAGAGCTTATTATTGCATTGGGTCACTATCATCATTGTTGTCATTATCTATGTCATTGGGTAGAGCTTGTCAGTATCATTGTTGGCGTCATCTTCATTATCATCATGCTTATCATTTTCATCATTGTCATCATCAATGTGCTGTGATCACGAAGGCCAAGGTGCTGATCTGAACACTTGGCATCATTAATTTGCTTAATCTTCATTATAACTCAGACACACAAAGGACTGTTATTTTTGCCACTTTCAAGGTGAGGAAAGAACACTCAGAAATAAATGAACTTGGGAAGCTCTCTCAGAGTTCTGGAGTTAGGATTGGTGGCTGTTAGGCTCCATATTAGTTATTTTTACATCAGTGTGACAAAATATTTGACTGAAGCAACTATAAGGGGAACAGATTTATTTGCCTCATGGTTTCATAAAAATTTCAGTCTACCATAACAAGGGGACATAGTGGAACATGTAACAGAGGCTCCTTGCATCTTGGTGGGCCAGAAGTGAAGACCATGGCTGGAAGTAGGAGTGGCTTGCCCCTACTAGCCTATTTCTGTTAGCAGGGGTCCACTTCCTAAAAGTACCACAGTCTTAAAAATACCGCCGTAAACTAGACAGAATTCAAAACATGAGCCTCCAGAGGCATTTCAGATTCAAATTACAATCTTACTCCTTGTCACAAAGGCTTGTGGCCACTTCATAATGCAAAATTCCCAAGAGTTTCAAGAGTTCTAACACTGAAAATGTCCAGTCTCTTCTGTGACTGAAGGTAATTTCTTAGGTATGATCCCCTATAAAATAAAAAATAAAGTTGCAGACTTCCAATATATGGTAGCAGAGTAAATGGTTGCATTCCAAAAGGGAGAAATAGCAGGGCAGTGAGAAATATTGGATCAGAGCAAGACTGAAAGTCAGCATGGCAAACATTAAGTGTTGAAATGCTCTGTCTGGCATCTGTGGTATATGAGGTATCATGTGGAATCCAATAGGCTTGACAACCCCTGGGCCTTTGGCCCTTCCACCTGCGAAGCATATGACTAACTCAAGCCAGCTCTGCTTTGTGCCTGAAGTTTTTCTCACCAAATGTCTAACATCCTGGGATTTCCATTGTAACTTAGGCGTCTTCCTCAAAACTCCATGTATGGTCTGATCAGGGGCTCTTGGTATAGCATATTACTTTATTATTCATTTTCTGATCTCAAAGACGTTATCCTAAACCTTGATGTGATCCCTATGATCCTACACTTCTTGTATTCTGCATACTTGTAAAAAAAAGCATCATGCAATCAACACTAAGTTCTACTGAAAACTCAAGTAGAGTGCACAAACCCTGTGCACCACTGCTTCATGAATATCCAAGAAATGGTGCTCCTATGCATCCAGAGTGCTCCCACTCTACTACCGTCTGTTCCTGCCTGGGCCGAGAGGGAGACATGTACCAGTATGTGTTGTGTCTTGGCTCTGCCACACATGCTAACGAAAGACTATCCTGCCAGGACACTGGGACTTTGAGTGAGTCAACAGGATCCAAATCCCAGCATCATAGAAATAACAATCACGGCATCTAGATGAGCTAGAAGACAAAACACAGGTCTTGGATCCAGTGACAGTTTGAATTTAACAAGACCAAGAACCTTCTGGAATGAGACTTGGAAGGTGACCTTGAAGCCTCAGTGGAGGGTCCCTTTTAACCAATTTAGCTGTGCTACTCTACCCAGTAGCTCTACAATCACAAAAAGGAAGAGTCTAGGTGCTCTAGGTCATGAACCAAAGGATAGGCAAACTTGTGCACTCTGGCCATTTGTGCCAGGAGCAGATAGATGAGGTGGTGTGAAAACTGGAGCTATTCTCAGCCGTAGTCTCATCACCGTGGCTGATGGTGCTCGGCTGTTCTCCATTCATCTCCATCCTACTCAAAGCCATAAACTATGAAGAAACTGGCCTCCTGTGTTGCGGCTGCAGGATCTCACAATTGTGTCTCAAGGCTAGGAAACAGGGCCTTCCATCCAAGCATGGGGCTGAAAACACAACCTTACTCTGAACTTTAGGGTAAACAGTATTTAATTTATCTGGAAAGAGTTCTCACAGGTATTTAGAAAAAGCACACCCAAACACACACATGCTCATCATACAGTTTTTGCATACATGGCCATACACACATACTTTTATTTTAATATACACATTCCTATGTAATGCAGGTGCACTGATTCTCTCTCTCTCTCTCTCTCTCTCTGTCTCTCTCTCTCTCTCTCTCTCTCTCACACACACACACACCACTCAACGCACACACTCATTCATAATTTCACACACTACTCATTTGGTCCTCCATAACCCACTGATCTTCTCCATGTATAATCAGGCCCATCCATTATGGGGTATTGCTCCCGTTGTAGAGTGACTGAACACCTCCACATCCATGGTTTCTGTGGGGCTGCTTGCATTGCTTGGCTTTGCTTGAGCCAAGGGGAACAGAGTCACACCCTTGCCTATTATGGATATTGCTGAAGCAGACTCCCTGGTTCTGACAGACTCTGGACCAGCATGGTGACACTTGCATTTCCACTAAGTACAACTGACTGCTGAAAGCAATCTGTAGTGACTGAACAATCATCATTACCAGTACACCCCCCACCACCTCCCCGAGATGGGGTTTCTCTGTATTGCTTTGGAGACTATCCTGGAACTATCTCTGTAGACCAGGCTGGCCTCAAACTCACAGAGATCCACCTGTGTCTGCCTCCCGAGTGCTGGGATTAAAGGCGTGTACCACCACCACCCGGCTACCAGGAGTGAAACGTGCATGTCTACCCTGGGAATAGTGGCCCAGCCTTAGATTTAGCTCAGTCTTCTTTACTTGCACTGTGCTAGCATTTCTACCTTCCACAAATTGCTGCTCAGGTGTAAAGCTAACCAGAGGCTCACGTTTGACTTCTTGGGTTCTTTCTACTAGAAATTCCAACTTGACAGAAATCTTGTCACATTTGCTTTTATTTTCCCAGACAGGATTCATCATTGCTTTCTCTTTCTTTTATCGCTTTGCAAATGCTTTAACATGCTATTTGCGTGTGAGTCTAAATCATTCAGGTCCTCACAGCCACCCCTATTTCATAAAGATCATGTCCCACCATGGGCTCAGCAAAGCCACCAAAGCAGTGGTTCCCAACTTGTGGGTTGTGACCCTCTTGAAGGGGTTACCTAAGACCACTGGAAAATACAGATATTTCCATCTCAATTCATAACAGCAGCAAAATTACAGTTATGAAGTAGCAGTGAAAATAATTTTATGGTTGGGGTTCACCACAACATGAGGAACTGTATTAAAGGGTCATAGCATTAGGAAGGTTGAGAACCACCGGCATAGACGTTTTACTCTACTTAACTCTCCTATGAACAGTCTTTAATGGCATGATGACCAGGCCATCTTACTGCTTCTTCATATCCAGTTCCTTCAGTAATGCCTGCCTGTCTACTACCTTCTAGTCCCTAATATTCATGGAGATCTTGGCCAGCAATAAACAAACGTTCCTCGTGACTCATATAAGCCAGCCCACCAGGGACTGGTCTATCATACCTCAGGTTATGTGGCTTTTTTTTTCAAGACAGAGTTTCTCTGTGTAGCTTTGGAGCCTATCCTGGAATTCACTCTGGAGACCAGGCTGGCCTCGAATTCACAGAGATCTGTCTGCCTCTGCCTCCCGAGTGCTGGGATTAAAGGCGTGCACCACTAACGCCTGGTATGGCTTTTGTTTTTAAGGATGGATGAGTAGTTGTGTTACTCAGTTTCTTCATTTTTACAGCATGTAGACTGATCCCATCTACCCCCATATCCCTCACAAACCAGGCTTCAAGAGGCCCTTTCAGTGCTTAAAAGTCTTTTCTGTGGCTGGAGAGATGGCTCAGTGATTGAGAGCACTTGCTGCTCTTGCAGAGGATCCGGGGTACAGTTTCCAGCACCCACAGGGCAGCTCACAAGCTTCTGTACCTCTAGTTTCAAGGAATCTGGTGCCCTCTTTTGGTCATCATGGGCATTTCATGCACATGGTGCATATACATACACACAGGCAAACACTCATACACAGAAAATATAAATAAATCATAAAAGTCTTTCCTAATTCAGCCAGTTAAAAATGCCGAATATTCTTTGATTATCATAATTGATTGACTTGTCCATTATTAAGATTTTCCCTGAATGCCAAATCATAGATTTATCCTTCCCTCTATTAAGGTTCAGATGTGAGGGATGTCTTCTATAATTTTGTTGTTGTTGTCACTCGGAAGGGCTCTTTAGTTCAGTTCTAACCTTTGCTTTCTTTGAATACCACCATCTATGAGAAACAGTCCACCAGCATCTCATATCCCTCTTTCCCACCCTCCCTGCCAAATCAGAGCATGCACCCTTGGGAGCATCCCGCACCTATGTGGTGTGCTGCACTCACCATGGAGGCAAGGCACCCCAAACCAAGCACAAGACGGCTACCCTTGTGATCCTCCCACAAGGCTGTCTCAACCAAATGTCACTGCCTTCCCTGGCTGTCCTGTTGTCCATCACAGGAGACATGAAAGTACCACCATAGCAAGAAGGCACACCTTCCCTTCCACCAGGGAAAGGTATGGTGTGGTCATACCAAGATTGCCCTCGTGGATGCTTCACCCTCATACAGAACAGCCTCAGTCACATGCCAGCACATTTCTGGGACCACACAATCATTCCTTCCCAACCCATATTTGCTTCTGTTGGTTCCATTTTCAGGTCGCCAGTGTGTTCTGTGGCATTTCCTAGAGAGATATGAACAAATATCTCCTTATTGTTCCAGCTCTGGCACTGACAACAGAGCAAAGAACCAAATCCACTTGAGTGTAACTAGTGAGCCAGTGAGTTTATTGGGGTTACTTACAGGAGTGTGGGTGAAAAGTTACTTGCAGAAGCATGGGTGACTCAGACAGCTGCCTCATTGAAAAGTCCATCTCAGCATGGGCAGTAAAGCCACCCCCTTGGAGTTCTCTGCAGGACCCTAGGGCAGCTTGCTTGCCAGCCTCCTCTCCACAGCCAGGGTTACTGCGTAGGTAAACTTGGACAGAATCCTTGTGAACTCTTCAGTCCCAGGCTTCCTGGGGTTTACCATGTGAGCATGAGGGTGCTGGTGAACTTGAACATGAACCTGTAAGTTTCACTTCCTTCCCAAGTCATATGAGCCTCCTCCATTTGAAGGGAATGTTCCAGTTCTTCGCAAATAACTACCCAGCACAACACGACACACACACTCAAGTGTACTAACATACAACCACACTCACGTGTATTCTCCAGCGCACACTCACATCAATGCGCTCACACGCATCTACACTCAGCTCTACTCACACATGCACACATTCATGCTCGCGTGTGCTCGGTCATTGACGCACTGTACTCAAAGGCACACACACTTCTGCTCTCACATTTGCACATACACTTGTAAGCTCACGCGCATGCACACTTTCTCATGCTCTCACAGGTATGCATGCAGAGTCATCTGTGCGCTCACACACGTACTGCACTCCGACTGAATTCATCCACACTCACACGGACCATCACTTTCTCTCTCGGCACAACTCAGACTCACTTGTATTCCTACATGCACACATTTGCACTTGGAACCTTTCCCACAGACGCACTTCTGCTCGCACACACAGGCAAACATTTGGGTAGAATTACACATTTCCTGCATGTACCAAAGAAAGACTGACATACCACAAACACCACACTGACTCAGCAGGTGTGACTGCACACACTCATTTTATTCCTGTGTTTGCTGTC